TGCCAACTTCAACCTTCAATATTATCCGCCACAGCATCCTACGCTTCGAGTTGCTTTGCTCTCTTACGAATCTTCTCCACTCTCCAGCACGTAGTACGACAACATATCATTTTCTGCTGAATCTCACATCTTATTTTCGATACGTGGGCGGAAGTGGTGTAGTGACAAGTGGCGCGCTTACCACGCGAGCGGTCCGGGGATCAAATCCTGGGTCGTGAGTCGCCCGGGCCAACCAAGCCTTCCATCCCTCCGGGGTCGGTTAATTGGTACCAGACTTGTCTGGGAGGATAAAAACACTGACTTGTACATCGGCTGGCCCCCGCAAGTCATTGTATAGGCCACATCGCATTCAAACGCCACTACGAATGTACAAATGGAAGTAGAATGCGTGCCGCATCCCAAAAAGGGATTGATCAACGGCAAATGCTTTATCCTTTTTTCCTTAACGACAGCTCTTCCTTGGCCTGTTGCTATGCTGACACGCCCCATGTGAACGAAACACACCACGTAGAGTTTGAAAAATGCCATATTCCTAAGAAACTAATGTATTTCACCCCTTCCCTGGAATTAAGCGGGTCAACAGCGGGGGAACCCTAGTCTCTGTTCCATGTTGTATAAACGCACCTCTATATCAGGCGAAAAACGTTTTTAGAAAGCGCTCCCCGCTCCAGACTATCTTTCTCATGAGTGCAGGGTCCATTATCCCTTCCGGACCTGAATTTTTCCCAGTGGAGAAATTTTTCTTCTTGCTATTGTTTATCAATTGTGAGCACATACAGTATCATTATTAGCGAAATTTGGAAGCTATTCGATCACAAACAAAGAAACTAAGAAGCTTTGAAAATTGGCCCACCTTCTTAGTTTTTGAGCTTATGTCGAAACAATTCGAAATTTCATAGTTATGCCGAAAAAGTTTATAATCTTGCACAACATTATAACCCATAATTTTGATTTAAGAATGGATCTACTTCAAGTATTTTAAGAAAAAGTGACACTTACTTGGCCAGGTTGCGGGGACCAGCGTCGATTCATTGTTGCACTTTGTACAACAAATACTTTTAATAACAGGGGGGGTGCAACACACAATGAAATGGCAGGTTTAGCTCATAATTAGGAAGGGGAAGGTTGACTGAAGCAACCTCTAGCAGGATTAGAAAAACCATGCTGTTTCAGCGGCAATGCAAACATTTGAATTTGGTGGTGGCAATTGCCACCGCCAGGGCCGAAAGGGTTAACCATGAGGATTCCTTCCGGAGGAACAATGAGTATTGATGTTTAGTATTTTGGACATCAGGCAACTTTCTATTACTACTGGACCTCCCAGCTTGTAAGCCATCATGTACGAGGAAAAATTCTTTCTGTCGAAGGTATCTACAACTATTATGTGAAAGCGTGAGATCTCAGAGTAAAAAAAATTCTATTCAAAAAAGCGACACTATTTAATTTACCTCAGTACATATGTATACCTTAAGCTTTCGAGGCAAAAAGAACTGCAGTATGGGAGGGTGATGGGTCGCTCTACCATAAAATGTTCGCGGGCAGCCTAAGAGGAAGATTCATTATCAAGAGCAAAATCAAACTGCCTAATTCATCTCTTTTAAAAAAGGCAACGCTATCTGTCTTTTCCCGACCGTTGTTTTTGAGCTGTATCTTTCTTTCGAAATCGTCCTACCAGGAACAATAAATCCTTGCCGTCTGGCGGTAGTTCCCTGTGGGGCTAGGCATGCTCTGATATGAACCCTTAGTTCAGCATGCAGTACTTGAGAGGCGTTCCATGATGAGGCAGCTGTATAGAATGATTTGCATGGATGCGGGATTTCTCATAATTTCTCAAGGTGAAGAGGGAGCGCTGATTTGCAGTACTGTTGCTGGCAATCATTCTATTAGCTAGCCTGCTCATGGAATGTGCCGGCGACAATAACTTTTAGGATCTCATCCAGTAAAGGGAGGGGGAGGAGGAGGGGAGAGATGGAATGGTGCGACAATTGCTGTCGCCTACCGAAAGTCCAATTTTAGGCAGAAATACTCGAGGTGTGTGAATCATATCATTCACGTTTTTCTACCCACTGCAGAGCATACTTTCCTTACGAAAAATTGGATTAGTTCAGGCGATATGTATTGTCACCATATGCTCTTACTGGATAACACTCATGACCGCATTCTAATAAATTTTAGCCTTAATCTGAGGGCAGAGTGCGCGACTTGTTCAGGTGGAATAAGCGAGAGATAGCCGAGCCCGCAACCGCAGAAGCAGTACCATTTCTGCCAACCAAACGGCTTTTTGCCACTGTCGACAGCGCGGCAAACATGTGTTTCGCGTACTCGGCACTGCAGCCATGTGGGACAGCGCGGTACGTATGTATCCCGCACCAATTCTATCATATTTTCGTGCACGCATGATTTCTTTTCACATTTTTTAGTTATTGTTCGGCCATAATGTAAGATAATTATGAACGACGTGACTCATAAGACGAGCATGCATCTCAAGTTTTCTTTGTTTTCTTTTTTACTTTATACATATGTGAATTGGAAGTGTAGTATGAGTAAACACAGTGCTGTGTGGATGGCATGATATGTGCTTTTACTGAAGCAATCCAACCAGAAATCTTTTGACGCCCACTGCAGCCGCAGTTGTGCCGCCTACCGTTATTCTTTTTGCCGTGCGCCTACGTTATTCTTCTTGCCCAAAGGGAAGCGGGCTGGAGGGGTGCGAGGCGGCAAACACGCACGCGGGACCCGTCCCAGTGAAAAATTGGAATTAATTTGCGAAAACGAGCTGGAGTACTCACTGGCCCTCGTCTCATGCAGTCATGACAAGTAGAAATAATTAAGATAGAGGGAAAGTGTCGTAAATTTATAAAAAATCAGCACCAAGTCGGACGTCAGGGAGTTGCATCTAGGGAAGTATGCCATGGCTTGGAGATTGATTTCTGATCAGTCGTTCTAACCACTTTGAGAGTTTGTCTCCAGAATGAATGACCCAACGCCCTCTTCCCTTCCTCTCTTGTGAGACAGATCCATTTTTCAAATGACACCAACCTAACCACAACAGTTTGATGTTTTTTGGCTCAAGGCTGGTGTTAAAATTCCCTTGAAAAGCAGTGCCGCTCTGGCTGAAGATTCCAAACGATGCTTCAGAAAGTCTAAAATGAAGCTGAAACACTCCAGAAGGAAACGAAAACGATAAATTTTGACGAAATCGTATCTTCCTGCCAGGTTCTAAACAACATATGGCAGAAACATTTCGCATGTGGCATCTTTACCACAACTGCATTTTCCTTCATTTTATGCCTGAAGCAGGTAGTTTTTTTATGAAGCCAATGGACAAAAGGTTGTTTCGAATTCTTTTCGATGATGAGACTTGCCGGTCCGCATCTCACTGTTGCTCAGACTTTTCGACATATGAACAGTACATGGCGTTTTTCAAACATCCATTACTCATCCGCTCTTTGATTTTATAACGCTTTATTCGATTTCATGTATTTGGAAAACAATATTTTGCATTTCTGCAGACAGAAATAGAGCCTATGAGGTAACTGTGGAGGGCTCTGTTTTTTGGTCTAGGCGAGTTCGATTCGTGGGATCATCACAGCGGTATGCACCGCTGTGATGATCCACGAATGCTGTGATGCATGTGATGCCTCTGTCCTATTGGGGGGAAGGTCTCGAATCAGGGGCATTCAAAACTGTCTTAGGTAAGACTAGGACTAGATTGGGAATAACGCCAGGTAGAGCATGGTATGCTCACATCCTCTCCAAGAGCTCCTTCCCTTTTTATGGCTTGAGTCCCGAGTTGTGGTTACAGAGGCCAACACTTCCAGTGGCCCTCTGAGAGCATGAGCGCCCTTCCGTGTATCTTCGCTTGTTTACTTTTCGCCGAATGTTCTCATGGGACAGCCGCTAATGTGTTTCTCAGTAAGATTTACCTTATGCTTATCTTGATAAAAGCATTTCTATACCCATGTAGGTTGGATACGAAAGTTTTGAAGCACCCACAGTCGAAATTTGAACTTATTTTTTATTCTTTCTAGCTATCTAAGATTTCCTAACTACCTTTCGGCAATTAGCACGTTCAAATTTAGGAGATCCTGTATAAAAAATTTCGGATGTCGAATTTAGGCCCTTTCCGTCGTCGAAGTTTTTGTCCTCCCTCCGGGTGATGAGTGGGCAGCGGAAAGGGTGAACATCTGCGGGGAGACGTATGGCGAATATAAAGGATGGGTAGGGTCACCGTGCGTTATTCAATTTCCAAAAAATTGTCGACCCCTTTCCCTCATACAGAGGGAGAAGGTCCTGTCTATCACGAAACTGGTTCTGTGCGCCTCTCGTGGGCCGATGTCTCCAGGCGATGTTCGTTCAGGATCGTTCAGGATGAGCGCTCGGATGGTCTATGGGGAGATTGTTCTGTGATGCGTACTCCATTGCTGAAACCCTGGTCGGAGCACCCTACGAGGCACAACTCGCTAATTTATCTACCATCTGTGGAAGATTCCAGTCCACTCGGGAAATTTTCTGTAAAGCTTCCCTTCCAGAAAGTTTTAGAACGTTCTAACAACGAATGCAGCCAGCACAGCAAATTTAAGTATTTACCAATCTGACTTCAAAATAAAATACAACAAAAGCTCCACAGGTAAGCGATTGACGAAGCAAAGTAGTGAATAAGAAAGAGAAATTGGGAATATTTAAATACCAACAATCATCCCGTACGGTTGACAGACTCTAAGTACTGATTGCAAAGCATATGACCAAAACGAAATCACATTTCGGAAAACCAATATGAACATATGACTGAAGGTTTTGACTTTTTCTTTCAAACTGACTCAGAAAAACAAAATCTAAGAGAATCAAAATTCGCTCACGAATAGAAAATCTCTCAATGTGACAACAATCTTGCGGAATCTGTCGCCAACCGATGCCAGATAGCTTGACTGGAGAGCTCTTTCCAAATCCGCCAGCTGTGCCACGGAAACAGCCAACTGAGGTGCATGGCCTTCGAATGTCGTCACTTAAAAAGAAAGTGTGAACTTCTCAGTTGCTCCGAGGAATAGAAGCCATATATTCATCGATGACAGCGGGCTCAATAGCGAGCATTTTGGAACGCTTAACACCACCACTTTCAATCAGACAAAATAGAAGGAAAAGGTTCCACTTTGGGGAGGGGAGGGTATGCAGCAGTCCCCGGCCGAGGATGGGTCCCGGGAGTGCAGCATACGGAACCTCCTGCATTTTAAGTGATTACCATAAACATAATTCCGAATATTGTCTTGAGATTGATTCATTCAGTTTTTTTTTTCTCGAAAAATTAAGGACATGATGGATTGCACTAAACATTGAGTAGCGCGACATCAGTTTTTGAGCCGATCTTATACAAGGCGAAATGGAAGGAAGCGATGTGTGGCTGAAAATCAAGGTCCCAAGACGTTTGAAGATTTAGCCATCCACGAGCGCATGAAATCTCAACCCTTCTTTTAGATTAAGGATGGTTCAAGCAAAACTAAGAATAAACACACCATTTGTTCGTTTAGCACCGTAAACAATTTTGCCATCAAATTCGTCCACAGGTATTTGAAACGCGCAATCAACGATAGCTATTGTCTGTCCAAGATGCTCTTCGATATCGGCTAACAGCTG